GTAGTGATGATTGAAAAACCACCACATGCATTTAACTTTCTTCTTTTGAAAGTCATCATAATAAACAAATCAAAAAAGAAATCATGGTCCAAAAAAGATGAGTAAGCAACAAATTTATCAGCTCAATTTGCACCATACAGCATATTAACAACTATCTATAGCATATTGACAATTTATACTTAAGCTATTAACAACACATCTTGCCATTTCATAATAGATTTATAAGCTCAACCTACTTTTTATAATAAATTTATCAACTCAACTTGAACCATACATAATATATTGACAACTTCTTATAGCATATTGATAACTTACACTCAGGCTGTTAACAACACATTTTGTCATTTGATAATAAATTTATCAACTCAACCAAGTAGCACTATAATCTCAAATACACCATTACAAATGCAAGGCTTGTAACTGCTCACCATAGATGTCACACTCGAAAATGTGACGCGGACGACATGCTAGAACGGAGGTTTTGGCCTTCGGAAAGAAGACCAAAGAAATAGGAGTTGCCACCAAAATTTGAGGAAAATCTTGAAAAACCGTTTAAAAGAGGTAAGGATGATCAGCAAAATCAGAAAATAGGTTCGAGAGTCGATTAAGTGTGGGAAAGGTGTTAGACACCCCATAACCCCTAAGAACGGTTACCTAAAATTCATTGTGCTAAATTAATATGGCTTTAAAATTATTTTAATTATTCCTTTCTTATTCACATGTTTTAAAAAAATGATAATAATTAAGTGAAAAATATTTATTTATTTACAAAGAAGGACTTGACTCAAAATCAGACTCTAAAACCTACATACCCTGTAATGTGAATCAAAATTTACGTAGTTCAGGATAAGACCAATGTCAATGGCTTTCTTTATTTATAATTTTTATAAAAAGAGAAATTTAAATGAAAAATAACTTATCAATCGCAAACAAAATAATTTTATAGAATGTGAGTTGATATTTTTTAATTTACAAAGATAATTTACCTTCATTTTCTCACTCCCATTTATATTTTTGAAACTATTTTTGTTGTTATACTTTTTTTATTTTGAAGATTCACTTTGTCAACATGGAAAAGTATTATTATCATTTTTAAAAAAATTAATATGTCTACGGAGACTTATTGTCACTTGTGGACATTCAAATGACTTAATACCTTTTAAAATTATATATTTTCCTCACCATATGAAATCTTAGATTATTTATAAAATATTTTATTTTAATATATTTTCTTTTACATATTAAAAATTTATTCGATATGCCAACGGAGACTTTTATCACTCACAGAGTATGATAAAACTTGTGATCATCATAACAGCAGAGTCATATTAACTCACAACAAAATGATTATCTTAACAATTTATAGATATTTGAAAATCTCATATGACCTAAGAATTTTAAGGTTATCACGTAAATATATTAATATAATTAATTAACTTTATTAAAAAAACGTTTATTATTTTATTTTATTTACAAAAAATTATTTATTTACTACATATAAATTGATAATCACATTATCTATGAGGATTTATTATCCTATATGATGATGCAATTAATTTAAATCTATATGAAAATTCCTTAAACTCTCACACGAAAACTTAAATGTTTTATCGATTTAAGTAAAAAAAAAGTTAATTTCTGTGAAGGATCATTAGAACCCATATTAATATATATAAGTTGAATCTATCTACCTGTGAAACCTTATTAATTTACACGGTAGATGATCATTTTGAATGCCTATGCGGATTTCTTAAAATCTCGCACGGCCAATAAATCAAATAGCATGAAGATTAATATTATGATCCAACCATACCTAAAACGATCAACATGAAATTGACAAGTTTTCATGATTACTAAGCACGCATGATGATAAATTTTCAAATACCAAGAGGCTAGAAATTCAATTGAACTACATTCTTTGATTACTAGAGGGTATAAAATCATATATAATCTTATAGATAGTTGGATAATGATTTATGAAAACTTAGAATAAAAAATATGATTCAAACCCATAACCTTTAGTTAATATTTTAAAACTTGAAAGCATGCTCTTATATTTTACTAATATACCATTAAACACTAAAATTTGAATAGTTCACACAATGCCAACCACCAGATCATGAAATCAGCTTTTAACCAAAAGGTATCTCAGATTGCTAATCCGTCTATGAGCTTTTAAATGACTTCAAATATGCACAAATTATTCAGCCATGACAACCACTCGTTCAACACATACACATATAGAGGTAAACCTAGATCCCTTTGTAAGTTGGTCGAAAAAAAACACACAGAAAAATTCCAACTTATTTCAACTCCAGATTCGCTGTACCAACACCGAGTCACAGTAAAAAAAAAGGCAAATAATCAACCAGATAACATAGGCTAATCAATCAAAATTAGAGAAATTTGGATTCATGAAATTCAAACCTATTACAGCAGTTGGGAATTTCCAACCTCTCTTGCCTTCAAAGCCTCAGATTACTTCCAGAATCAGCCATGAATTCCACTAATTCTTTCGGTTCCCTTCTCTAGAAAATCCACAAATATTTCAGTCTAAATTCTTGATCTTCTTTCTTTTTTTTAAGAAATTTCTCCATCTCTTCTTGCCCGATTTTCTCTCCCCCCCCCCGAATCCTCTTGCCTTCCCAAAATCCTCAATCTTTATATAGAGAGTAGATGATCACTTACCATTACATGCTTCCATCTCAAATCATCATCTCTGTTCTTTTGCTTCTCCTTCCCTTTGTCGCGTTTTCATCTTTGCCGTGTTCATGTGCATCTTCCATCTTCTTGCTTTTTTTTTAATTCCTCTGTTTTTCTTCTGCATTTGGCTGAAAGTGCATAGGGGTGGTTGAAATACTTTGCATCCGGTTGCCTCTCTTCTAGTCTTTGTTTCTGCTTTCCTCTTCCTCTCTGCATGTGTGACTGCCATGTGTGTGCGTTTCTTGCTCTACGTCTGCTTTTTGCTTTTCATCTTGGATTTTGCCTTCTGCCTTCTGCTTTTGGGTGTGACTTTCTTTGCCCTGCTCTGGCTGAAAAGCCCCATTTAAGGTTGTTCTTTGGTCTTCACTCGAGATTGTCGGCTTATGCTCTGGCTAAAAATCTAAAAAGGTAAGTGAAACACTGCAAAGTGCACATTTCACTCTCCCTATTTGCTAATTAAATTAAATTTTTTTAAAAAAAATTTTTTACTCCCAATATTTCAAATTATTGAGAGATTATTTCGAGGATTTAAGCAAAATTTTTTTTAAAAAATATAATCCTAAAAAAGAATCAAATTTTATTTTTGTATTTATATATAATTATATATATTAGTTTTTTTAGTGAACTAACAGAAATAAAATCCTAATTATGAGATTAAATTCTAAAATTTTTTTACATTAAAAATATAATATTAAGAAAGATTAAATTTCATTTTTATGTTTTTATATATATTTTTTAGGTTAAATTAATTATTATTTTTATTAAGTGTAAAATACGCCCAAACAAAAAACAGTGTTCACAACAGATATACCATATAAAGAGAGAAAGAGAGACCACTCTAACTAATATACTCACGAAGAGAGAAAGGGACAACCCACATGGCTTCATTCGACCAACAAATAATAAAAGACTAAATTAGATGATTGGCAAAGAACATATGCAAACAGATCTCATTATTTACCTCATTTGGCGCAATCATAGTAATAGTAAAACTGAAGGTTGAAGCTGGGCTTTTCTTTCTTAACGAACTCCTACATCACTTAGAAGATCGAAGATGCAATAATATGAGATGAGATGATAACAATGGGTTGGCATATTAGCTACAAAATGATCCTATTTATCTCACTTTTTTGAAAACAATCGCGATAACTCAGGTCATTACCTCCACTATATGAAAATGGTTTCTCTTTCTTTGTTCTTTCCTTTTGATTCAGTCAGGACAAATGAATAATTTTACTTATAGAATTATTCACACTAAAGGATTAAGAAACTGCAGAATAATTTTTTTATTTTGTGGGACTCAGTTGTATTTAAATTTCTTCTATGAGATTTGATTGTAATTTTTTTAAATTAAAGTTGATGAATTAAATTGATAATTGAGAGAAATTTAAGAACTAAGAATTTCATTATTATTTATTTATTTATTTTTCTATAAACTCAATTATATTTGTGTGTGTGTGTAGTGTGAATTGCATTTATTTGTAACCTTTGACATGGCGTGTGGCTAAGTTTGGTTCATCATCATCAATAGTTGCTCTTTCGTCACGCCTAATACAGTTGTAAGTCCTTTTTAGTTACTTTCAGGTCAGTCGACCGGCTACTGTGGTTACGGGTTAGAGCAGCTTTTCTCATTTATATTGTCATTTGTCCATTCATCTAGTCTCTATCGTAAATTTAAACTCCTAGGCTTTGTTTAAAGGGCAGGAAAGTAGAGGGAAAAAAAATAGAAAAATTAGAATAAAAGAGACATTTTTTAGCATATTTTTTTAATCTCTCCTTACAAGAAAAAAAATAATGAAAAAATTTATTTTAGTCAGGGGAAATGCCTTTTCATTCTACTTTTTGTTTTATACAAGCATATTTAAAATATAAAAATAAGCAGCTAAATTTAAAATGATTATTATGATAACGTATGTTAAACATATTTTTCCTGTTGATTTCTCTTGCGTGCTGCCCTCTTTTTGATTGATAACAGCAACACTGCGTGCAACTGAGACTCCTGGATATCCTTATCTACATGCGTGTGAATCTCTGTTACCTACTCACATCTCCTTCCCAGCCACACGATTCAGTTTCTTTTTTTCTTCTTCTTTTTCTCCTTTTTTTTTTTGTCTTGTCGCAGGATATTTAATTTCCTTTCCAGTTTGTGATTTGGTGTCCATTAGATGCACCTACGTTTCTCAAATAATTTTTAAAGAAATAGTTTATATGAATTGAGTCCCAAAAATTTAATTACTAGAATTTAGATATGCCTTCAAATTTAAAAGGTACTCACAAAGATAAATACGCGAGGTGAATTGGGAAATGGCTGGCATTTGCATTCAACAAATTAAGAATAAAAAATTGGACGTCCTTTTTTATCACAGAGGCAATCAACTTTTGCCTTTGGCTTATCTAATTGATGTAATAACAACACTTTGTTACACAAACCAATTAACCTACATAAAGGTGCTGAATCAAACTCAACTCTGGACGTCCACCATCAACTTGTTCAGCTTCTTGTTGCTCAGTCTTTGCTCAATAAACCCTTTACCATCCTCACTGCATAGATCATATAGATATTTCATTTAAAGAGTGTAAATAAAATTGTTGAAGATAGATATGATAGCGAGGATGATGATGGTATATAAACGAACCTGTGGGGCATGGAAGGGGCAGAAGGAGTCAACTTGCGAGCGAGGATGAGGGCGTCGTGGTGAGTGTTGATGAGGCGATTGAAGCACAAGTAGCGACCGTAGGATGAGATGTCTTCGAAGACGCAGATGTGGGCGTGCACCAAGAAGTCGAGATCGACGGTCACGAACACTCCGTCCTCGTACATCTCGGCGGCTCCTCTCAAGTAAGGGGTCTTGATGGAGAGATCAGGGTCGTCCATCAACAAGCCGGCGTTTATGGACACCATGTTCACTCCTCGGTCCATCGCCAACGCCCACGCTGTCTTCTCCGCCACCGTCTTTGACATCCCGTGCCATAACTGCTCACCACCCATTTCATATTCAGCTCCTCACTTCACTTTCAATCACATGTATATATCCACTTGAATTCAAGTTTACACTTTTATTTTTCCACTGGTCATGTTATCAAACCATCTAATAATTGAGATGCAATCATTTTCATAAGCCGCCCCCCTAATTATAGCTGAAATTATTACACACCAATGCATTTCTATTCCTTACTTTTGCACAAAGCTTTAATTTTTCAACTTTTTTATATATTTTAAAACAAGAATTTAAAATAATCTTAAAATGAAGATATATATATATATATATATATTAAAACAGATCCTTAAAGTTTTTAGCTTTTTAGGTATCAGTTCTGTTTCAATTTTATATGTATTTTTCACTAATAAAAAAATCTTAAAATGAAGATATATATAATCACGATAGAAACTTAATCAACCTGCACCTTTATACATTGATAGCCCGGTCATCAAGCTAGCTAGTCGCATGTGCCTTCTGCGTTTAAAAGTTTAATTTATTCTAGGTTAAGTTTATATATACTTTTCGTGCATTCATCAGCTTGTCATATTTTTACAACTAAATAGTTCCCAGAAAGCTGCAGGCTAGACCTTAAATCACGAGTCCCCTGAACTGGCCTCCATGATAAACCAATTAATTATTTGAGATTAAAGTGACACTAATAAAACCATGCAATAAAATCATCAAGAGCTAAATTCAACAAGCATATAAACAGTTTATTAATTAACCAACGGCAAACAATTGCGTGAAAATTATTAAGTTGAAATAATTACCTTGAACTTTCGGCATAGATTGACGTCACTCCAATGCCTTTCATCAAGGTCTAATTCGAGGGATTTGCGATCCTCCCTCCATACAACTGCGGTGGCCGAGGATGTGAACACCACTTTATCAATCGTCTCTGTTTGAGCACAAGCTTCCAGCACGTTGTGTGCAGCTCTCACCTCCACATCCGCCATGTATTCCTGTGTGTGTATATATATATATATATATCAACCCAGGAAGTATATATCAGTCAACCCATAAATTTCTCCTTATAATTAAATATAGCCGTCTTTTTAATTTGGTGCACAGACCAGCCGTCTTTGATTTCACAACTTGGTCAAACTTTTTTGTAACATCAAAATAGTTTAAAACAATTCGCCTCATACGGAATTTATCGGTTTTGGCCAACTTTGAATTGTGCAAAAAAAAGGTCTGGTGAAAAAGCTTTGTGAGTTTTGAAGTTTTCAAGAGTACATCCACTTCTTCATGGCTTGCATATTCTTTTTGGGAGGTAAGTACTAAAATAGTGATTAATTAGTTTGGTACACTACGCTGATACTCATGTGGGAGGTTGGCCACTGAATTTGGGGGATATTTATTGATGATAATGGGTTAATGACATATAAATAATACCAATTATTTGGGCAAGGGAGGATTAACCAACCTAAACTAATACTGTATGAAGGCTTTATTTCCACTATTTTCGCAGATGTTCATGCACAATTGGAGGTCGGAGGGTTTTAAAATTGGATTCTACAAGGCATCCATAAGCTGCCCAACTAAGCCGTTAAACGGCCAATCAATTAGAAAAAGTTTTCAATAGACTCATCTATCTGATAAAAGTGAGCTTTCCAATTTGTTTCTAAAACTGATAAGATGATCAGGGAAACTTGTCTTTTCAAAAAAGAAGTGTGAAACGCATTATTAATCACGCCATCAGTGTTAGGAAAGAATTGAAGACACTCATTTCGATAACTCTGCAACTACTTCCTCTTTTGATGAAACTAGTAATTGACTAACGTAAACAAACTCTGCTACTTGTCGTCTTCTCCAACCACCATCAACCATGTTAAGCGCATGCATTAACTCTCTGAAGTAAATGTTTCTATTGAGGCAACTTTCCAGCAAGATGGGCCAAATCTCAATGAATTTCAAAAAGGGATTGACGAAGCTTACATCATAATCAGGCTGATCTTGGGGAGGCTCAAAGTTGTAAAACAGGCCAGAGCAACCTTTGAGCGCATCGATTATGCTGTGGTAATCAAACGGGTCCGATCGGAAAATCTTGAGCTTATCGGAATCCGCGGAGAGCCGACGGAATTGCTCCTCTACTAATCACACAACACACCCAAAAAAAAAACAACAAAACATTTAAGTAAAAACGAACCAAAAGTAATGAAATTAGAATCAGAACGAGCGGAGAAATTAACCATGATCCTGAACGGAAGCATGAACGGTATAGCCCCGTTGGAGGAGTTGCTTGACCAAATTGAAGCCAAGGTGACCCGAAGCGTCCATCACACAGACGGTGCTAACAGAGGGATCATGAAATGAGGGTGCCATAGTAATGGTGCTCTGCTGGGACGGAGATGTGTCGAAGTTTCTGGGTTGAGAGAAAACGTACGCTAGAGAGAGACGGGTGGGAAGTGAGAATTGGAAATAAGGTTGAGAGAAGAGGAAGATATAAATAAAGAAGAGAGGGGTAAAGCATTCAAAGAGCGTGGAGGGTAGATAGGTAGGAGGTAGTTGCAGTTTTTGAGAGATTATTGAACACGCGCATATACAGAGAGACACGGACGCACCAGAGGACCAGAACGAAGAGAGAGAGAGAGAGAGAGAGAGAGAGAGAGAGGGTTTGGAGAATTTCAGCGACGATGATAAATGAGTTTGGTGGGAATGTGCGTGCCTTTCTTCTCAGCTAACTCCTGATTTCATTTACCTAAAATAAAATTATGCTTTCTGGGCTTCTTATTTAAATATTACTACTATATAATTTACGTATAATTAGCATTCTAAATATATATGTTTTATGCCAACTAAACGTGGCCCTTCAGAGCATCACATTATATTAGTCCAAGACTAAATTCTAAAGATATCATTGTGTGAGATTTGATTATTGTCGAAGTTTAATTGGAGTTGCTAGCTTTTTTTTTTTAAATAACTTTTTAACCAAGGTATTCAAACAATCAAACTATTGACCTTATTAAAAAAATACCTGCTATATTTCTTTTCATCCATAAAGTTCTTAATTATTTATTTATATTTTATATAATTATTTTGATACCTTAATAAGTAAATGGTCAAGAGTATATATTATCGTATAAGGTGGTGGGTTTAAACTTTAAAGCATGTTATTGACGTGAAAAACTCATTTTGATTTTATGGATGATCTTTGAACTATGAAAAATTAAAATTTCAGTGAGTCACCTTTTGTGACATAATGACTACATAAATATAATATTATATATATAATATGTATAAAAATAAAATATTAAATTATCAAATAATTTAAAATGTCAACATGAAATGATATCCATTCATTATGTTCTCAATGAGTTAATTAAATACTAGCGGATCTTGGTTAAGCTCATCATGAGTTTTTAAAAGAAAAATTAATATCATTACATTAGATTTGAATATTATTGAGTTTAATTATAGTTAACTTTTTTATAAAATGATTTTCAGTGTTCAAATATAGTGTAATGATGACCTTATTGAAAAAATGTTTGGTAAATATCTGTTTCATCTGCTAGGTATTTTGTCATTTATATTTTATTTATATTGATATAATGTTAATAATTAATCGGTCAAGAATTAAATCTATGCTGTGATGTAAGGTGAGTTTAAACTTTAAAGCCTGGAAGTGACATAAACAGCTCATTTATGGATAATCTTTGAATTAAGAGGCCTGATTTGACTTTAATATTTGCTAAGGATCCTTATGCTCATTAAAGTCTTTCTATGGTTAATTAAACGTAATTTGCCATAGGGAGAGGGAAGAGACAAATTGGATACATGAATGACTTTAATGACGTAGGGTCGGGGAAGGGGGGGATTTTAATAAACCTGGTTTAGGAAGGAAGAGAAAGAAAACCAATAAAAGTTGGTAATTTTACGCTTGTCAACTTTAAATTGATTTTTTATTTTTTCTTGATTTATTATTAAAAATGGCTATATTATATTTTAGTAACATTATTATTTTAAGGATATGAACTCATATTAATAACATTTTTTTGAAAAAAATACATTAATATTATATTTTATTAGTGCATCTAATGGAAAAATATTAAAATTTTAGACCAAAAAATCATATATTAATTTTTGTATAAAGTGATAAAATTTATTTTATTATAAGAGATAGGCAAAAGATAATGCATAATTTCTTAATATCAAATATAGTTTAGAATTTTAGACAATGCATATATTCGATATATCAAATATAGTCTTACATTTGAGAAAAAAAATCATCTATTAATTTTTATAAAGTGATAAAACTTATTTAATTATAAGAGAGAGGGAGGATAATGCATAATTTTTTAATATCAAATAGTTTAGAATTTTTAAAATAATAAATAAATAATTTGATTATAATTTTCTCCCTCTTCTCTTCATAAAAAAAAGCTCCAAACTTTGTCAATTTTTTAACCTCACAAACAAGGAGCAACTTCTCTCCCTTCTCCTTTAATTTTTTAATCAAACAAAGAAGCTCTCATTCATTAAATATCAGATAAATACAGGAAGGGAAGCAACTCTCCAAACAAAAATTTTCATCCGAACACACCCTTATTATAAAGATATACATAGTTTTAAATCAAAATCATATTTTAATGTGATCCGGAAAGGTTATATATAATTTATATACAATGATATTTTAACATGATCAGTTTTGTATCAATAACCACCAATATAATTTACTTTAAATTCAAAATTGATTTTTGTTTCAGGCGAATATATGCTGTGTTTGACCTTGCTGTCGATTAGAATATATGCTCAATAATTTGTTGTGAGGTAATGATCATATGTCCGATGCTTGTTGTATTATTTAAGTGATGCAATACTGTTTTTTTCTTTTTGTAAGAATGGACTTTCCTTTTTAATTATTTGAAAAAGATAAGATATCTGGGCAATTTGAATATAATTAAATGAATTACTGTATAAAATGTTTCATTTACCTTGCGGCAAGGGAAAAAAAATCACCCTTCTTTGTCCCACGCATGAGCTGGTAGTGGAATTTGCTTTGGTCCTAAATATAATAATAAATTAATTTTCTTTGCCCCACGCATTATTATTATTTTTTAAATTATTCCTATTGATTGCATTAAATGATTAAGGGGAAGGGTGATATTCAACATATTATAAAGATAATTCACTCCGTTTAATATTACAAAATATTTTTAATTAAATCATACTTTCAATAAATTAATTAATTATATTTAAAATCATATACTGTTCTCATATTTATTTTTATTTAATAAGATATTTTAATTAAAAAAATTATTAATTATGCCCCTAATTAAGGCTATTTTTAGAAAAGTACCACTAATTACATATTAAAAGATCCAAAATATTTAATATTTTTTAATGGAGGAAGTAACTAAAAAAAGGTATTTAAAAAAATAATGCATAATGTTTAGAAATAATTAATTTGACTAGTTACTTTAATCCAATCTTAACGAATTACTAGTTATATAACTTCTATGTTTAGAACCGGAGGAAGTAATATAATTTAGTAATTCACCCACAAAATTATTAATAAAAAAATAAATAATATTTTTTTAATTCTATTTATAAGTCACTTCCAGAATATTTTATCAGAATTAAAAAAAATCTTAAACTTTATTTTAAAATTTAATAAATATTAGCCTTTACCTCTAATAAATATTTTTAAATCTTATTATTAATATTTTTATTTAAAGTATTTAATAAGAATAAAAATATAAAGAGAGATATTGAAAATTAAAAAATATCTTATAAATAAAATTATTTTTTCCCTCTCCCTCTCTCTGCGCTATATAAGCATGACCAAGATGTATGAAGGTAGCTCCTGAAGATTAAAAAGAGCGCGGACCAGAATGAATCATAAAATCACATGCATAGTTTTGAGATTTGAGTGGGGTCACTGGACGGAAATAAGATTTTATATACAGAGGGACATTTACAGACAAACGTGACAGGTCTTGTAATTGTGTAAGTCTTGAGCGGCCAAGATAGTCTCACCCCAGTCGGAGACAATAAAACACATACAAAAAAAAAAAAAAAAAAAAAAGGGCACTGGTGGACGTTGGATAGTTGTGTCCCAATACATTTCACATATCCCATTTCACTTGCCATGGAAGAGTCTCGTTTCTCTGCACTTATATAATACACGTTTTAAAAGTCGAACCGATGTGAAACCACTTTGTTATGATCTAACTGATTTGATTAAAAGTTGAATTAATAATGTAATAATTAAATAAAAATTAAATAAAAATAATATTAAGTACATGTATAGTATAATAAATAAATGCACTGCATGTTTAATTATTAATAAAATAACACAGCATGATCATATTATAAATTATAATTTTATAACTTATTAAATAGATAAGCATTTTAGTTAAATTAGACATAATTAGTTCAAAAGTATTTGTGTTTATACACATAAATGTCAACATTTTTTTTTTAAAAATGGTATCAAATAATATTATATGTCCGTGAAAAATTAAAAAATGAAGTTGACTTTTGATATGGTTTGATTTTTTTAATTTTTCTGATTTTTTATAGTTTCTTCACCCTTTTTCTTTTAGGGGAAATCACATTCAATTCTCTCTTAAAAAAATTAATTACAGGTAAGAACTAATATGAAATAAATTGTCATTAAAATTATAGGAACATGATTTTTTTTTAAATGAGACTTATTATTGATCTTTATTTGTAATTAATTTTTTTGAGAGGGAATTGAATGTAATCATCCTTTTTTACGTTCAGACCATTTGTTTTTTGAAAATTATTCTGGTTCATAACTTAACTCTGTTCTAATTTGGCTCAACCAAAAAAGACAGCTTTTCATTCAAACCAAGCTAATGTATTCGCGAGTTCGATCAATGGTACCTAACCATCCGATTAGCTAGTCCACCAGTTCATCAAACAGAGCTCTAGAGATGAGTTTTGTGATTCATAAATACTCTATCTATTTCAAAATATCTGTTAAGGTTTCTACAGTAGTATATGTACTAAAAAGACAATTAATATACAGAAGTATTGATATTGACTGCATTATCAAATTTGTCCCTACAGTTAATAAATGCTCTTCGAAATTGTTGAAATAAACTAGGATATATCATAGGAAAAATGATGATAAATATTGATTTGAACTTTTTTACTGCCTTGATTTGAACTTACAGTGACATATAAAATGAAACAAAAAAATTTTCCTAAAAAGACATACTTCCTTCGATCTTATATATAAAAAAATTTTTAGAACATTTTTAATCATTAAATATAAAAGGTTGTATATAAAAACTTGCTAACATATTTTTTAATGAATAGATCATTATATCTTTATTAAATTAAAAATAAAAAAAGTACTTTTATTAATTTATTTTGAAAAAAAGATTTATTTTTTATTTACAATAATTAGATATAAAATTAAAATATTGCTATATTTTTAATTAGATAATTAATTTTTATTGATTTACGTTATTTGATTGAAACATTTTATATATAGAAATAGAAGGAGTACATTTTAAAATTGATAGAATAATATTAATTGTTGGAGGCTTAGAGCTACGTGTGCTTTAATTTGCTTGGGAAGTAATAAAAT